AGTGGCTTTGGGAAGAGCCTCCAAATCTCTATCGGGCCCTTGGGATGGAGGTGCAGAAGTGCCGGGATCGCATGGAATGACCCCCGGGGCTGGGCAGGAGCGGGACCCGGCGGCTCCCGCACGCCGGGCGGGGAGGGACCAGCTGCGGATCGGGATGAGGGACAGCCCCATCCCGGCTCTTAATTAGCCCGCAATTAGAGCCGGGCCAGCTGAGTGGGAATATTAATAGCCCGGCAGGTAAAGCTGACACAGGCGGCAGCAGCGGCAGGCTCCGGCAGCGGCTCTGCGGGATGGAGGGATGGAGGGATGGATGGAGGGATGGAGGGATGGATGGAGGGAGGGATGGAGGGATGGATGGAGGGATGGAGGGAGGGATGGAGGGATGGATGGATGGATGGATGGATGGATGGATGGATGGATGGATGGATGGATGGATGGAGGGAGGGAGGGATGGATGGATGGATGGAGGGAGGGATGGAGGGATGGATCCGCAGTCCCCACGAGGTGACAGCGCTGCAGGGGTCACTGTGACCTCCCCCGGGCTATAAAGAGCGGCAGGGCCGAGCTTGGGGCATCTCCCAACTCCTCTCCCATCCCACCAGCCACAATGAGGGATTTTTTTTTTTTTTTTTCAGAGGATGATCACAAAGCTAAAAATACAGCAGCGCCAGTGGCCTTTAATCCTGGTTCAAGAGCAATCTGACACTCCTGCTCTGCTTCCCAGGCAGCTTTTTGGGACACAGGGACGCTGCCAGCTGCTGCTCCATAGGTTCACCCCATCCCTTTCCTCCTGCACTCGGGTCCAGCCTCACGGGTGCCCCTGGGCTTCCCCAGCACCTCCTTTCCCAGCGGCTCCTCCGAGCGGGATTTCTCTCGGACAGGGAGGATTTACAGTAGAGCCTTCAGGCTGCCAAACACGCCGGCGTTATTTTTATTTTTACCCAGCTCCAGGGTGGGATATAAATAGAGCCCAGGCCGTTCTCTGTTGCTGACCGAGAAATGTCCCACAGAAGCGAGCCAGGCACGAAGGAAATGTCACCTGGGGGTCACCCTGGGGGGAATAACAGAGCCCCACTGCCACCCCTCTCCATGGGGCCTCCAAAAACCACAGAGTCCTGCCCTCTTTTGGGGAATCTGGGGGTGTTGTGAGAAGAAACTTTGTCCAGGGATGGGCACCTTTAATCAAACCTCTCCAGGATTAAATCCTTCCATCTGTCAGGGCACCCCAAGTGTGTAAAGGGGATCAGCCCTGTCAGGGCAGGCACTGGGGGATGTGGGGAGAGGCTGCTGGAAGGACAGCAGGGACAGGGGGTGACAGACATCACCAGCTCGACTTCTGTGAAAAATAACACCCCAAACCCATGGAGCTTTTCCAGCCTGGCCTTTATTTATGGCTCGGGACCAAGCAGCTGCTCCCGGCAGGGGCTGCCCCGCGCTGCTCCACGGGGAAGGCTCCTGCAGAAGTTTGTTCCCAATGTATGGAAACTTCTGATGAGGTGAAGGGATATGCTGGGGGAAAAAAAAATCATAAAATCCTTTAGCAGGGGCCTGACCTCGCCCTGTGGAGCTGTGCCCCTGGGTGAAGGGCTCTGGGCGAGGCTTTGGCCGCCTGACAGGAACAGCAAATGCTATAGGAGAGCTTTTATAGAGCTCTGCTTCCTTGTGAAAGCCAGGCTGGTGTTTTCTTTTCCACTTGGATGAGGATTTTCCCATAATTGTGCTATTTTTATGGAGGTTTCAGACAGAACCAGAGGGCCTCTCCCAGCCAAGCCCTGGTGCTGCAGGAGCTGGGGCACGGGAGGGTTCAGCCTCTGACGTAGGTTCCCCATCTTTGCCAAGTGCCTTTGCTGGCAGATGGCTCACCCTGTGGAAATGAGGGATTTGCTCCATCTCTGCCTCACAAGGATTTTTCTTTTTTGGAGTTTCCTGCCTGGAGATGAACTCCAGGTGGTGCAGATGCTGCCTGAACCAGGGGGAAGCAGCAGAGCCTTCTTGACACAAAACTGGGGCTCAGCCACAACTCCTGCTCTGAGGACACAAAAAATGAACCTCTCAGCAGTCAATAGCAATTTCTGACAGACAAGGGACACTCATCTCCCCCAGGGCAGCTCATCAACACCCCAATCACTGCCGGTGAGGCAAAGGGTAGGGAAACACCAGGAGTGATGGCTGAGAGGCCACTGAGGCTGTGCCTCCCCCAGTTCCCAGGTTTTGATGGTTTCTGGATATTTTTTTTGCTGAGGGGGAGCTTTTTTTGGAGTGCTGGAACCTCAGCTGGGTTTTGCTGCTCAGTGGGAAGGAGCCAGGTGGGAGCAGGTTTTTCGGGGAGGAAATGAAGTGGCTGAAGGGTGGAGGCTGCCTTGTCTTTAATTTGAGGTGGGATTTCTGTCTGACTGCGGGATTTGAGCTGCTGTGGCTCCGCGTGCCTGGTTTTGGGGGCAGCGGGAGGAAGCTGGGATGGGGGACTGCTGATGCAAATCCTTTTGCAGGCTTGTGGAGGTGAATTGAATCCTTAGAAGCCTGGTGGGAACGAGCTCTCCCGGGCTGGGAGCTGCCAGCAGCCAGCCAGCTCCGCTGCCGGCGCCTGGAGCCATCAGCAGGGCACCAATAATGTCCTTTATTAAATCACAGCCACGTCATCAGCTGCACTCGGGGATGTGGCTGCTTGCACGTCCCTTCCCAACCTGCCTGCTCCTCTGGGTGCTGTGGCAGTGGATTTTTTTTTCCGTGGGTTTTCAGCAGTTCTTTGTTCTGGGGATCCATCCTACAGAAGGGTTTTTTACTCAATTCATCCCTCAGATGCACAGGGAGTTTTTTTTTGCTCTATTTGCTGTCAGCAGGAGAGGGTCTGGGAGCTCCTGAGTGAAATACCTTGTGCCAAACCCGGCTTCCCCCAAAATACAAATAATTCAGCCCAAACTGGGCTCTTGTGCTCTTTGTACCTGCCTTGGACCAGGGCAGGCTTTGCTTGGCTTTATTGAAGCTGCTCCCGTGAGCCTCCATCAGAGCCCAGCTCTGAACACGTTCATTCCATGCCCCAGGTTCCCAATCCAAAACTCTCTGGGAACCAGGCAAGCTCCAAGCCTTAGGAAAGCCCCACCCTTCGCTGGAGCTGCTGGTTAATGGGGACAGGGCTCCTTTTGGATTAGTTGCCCACAAGCAAGAAAAGCTATTTTGAACCAGAGGCTGGGAATGTTTGAGCTAATCCCAGGTGGAAGCTGATTAAGAGCTCGTGGGGGCAGATTTGGAGCAGCTCCTGGTGGCACAGGGAGCCCAGCCCTGTCCCCTGGCTGCTCTGCCTGGCCAAAGCACCCCGAGCTCCAAGGAATGAGAGGAGGTGAAGCTCAGGCCCGACATTCCCGACGTGTTGGAGGGGATTTCTTTGCACAAACCCTTGCCAAGGTCTGTGGAGTTTAATCCTGACCTTTGGCAGCTGTTGGGTGCTGGGAAGGGGAGAGCTCTGTGTTCCTTTCCAGGCTGGTGGACACCTTCAGCTCCGTGACACCCACACCAGGGAGCCGGCAGTGTCTTCATCCTGTCACATCCCAGGGAAATATTTCCATTTTTGGCCATCATTTTCAGGGGTTTGTAAGTTTTTCTGGGGGAGATGCCCACCCTGGGCTGGGTGAGCTCTGCTCCATGCTGAGTGAGCAGTGGCTGTGCCATGGACCCGAGGCTGCAGGATTTGGGTGGGATCTCGAGGATGCATTAACCTGCACAGACACAGCAGGGAAGGGGCAGGGCTCATTTCTATTCCCATGGGTCTCTCCAGCCATGGGGATGATGTGACACCCAGCATCGCTGCCACAGGAGGGTGGCACAAACAGCAAATTTTGGGTCAGGTGCCTTCAAGCATTGAGATGAAGAAATCTTAAAGGCAGCCATGGGGGATCGTCCCAAAAAGCAGAGCAAAGCCACCACGTGGAAGAGTCCTGCAGATCAGAGCTGCAGGTTGGGTCCTCCTGAATTAAATATTTGGCTTTTATCCACCTTGCCCAGCCCAACAGTAGCCCCTTGTCTGAGAGTCACAGAAACACACCCCAGTAAAGAGATTTCTCGCAGCTCCTGAAACCTCAGGGCTTCCTCCACACAAATCCTGAATTCTTCCCCACATCCTGCCCTGGGCAAACACTGAGCAGGACTGAGAGCAAACAGCACCAGGTGTAAACACAGCAGCGTTTCCTCTCCAGGAAAACATTGACTTGCCTCTCTGATCACTCCTGGACTCAAAGAACATTTGGAGCAGCTTTTAAGGAATTGCTTACATTTCATTTTCCGTGTTTTTTTTTTCCATGCGGAGCCCCACAGCAGCAGCATTGTGGCGAAGTCTGAGGTGTTTTTAAAGACCCCGTTTTGGGTGTTTATGTGCTGCTGCACATAAATCACACCTCAAACTATGAGCCCTTGTCTGCTCACAGACCTCAGAGCTCAAAATATTCCTGAGG